ATCCAATAAAACTTTACACAAACCTTTTTTTAAAATTTGTGGACACTAGAGGTTTATAAATACCAATAAAACGGGCGAGCATTAAAATTGGAAAAATATTATTATAGTAGGTAATGGTTTTTTTTAAATTATATTATTATTATTTTAAATTAAATTAAATTTAGTGGTGCATTTTGGCAACGCTGCACTAATTTCGTACTCAATCATAATGTTCCTAATGTTTTTAAGCAGGGACTAAAATTGTGTGTAGTACGAGTCATTACGACACACTATTTGTGTAATACGAAATTAAAAAGTGTGAAATGGCCAGTAAGAACTATTAACTATAATAGTAACTTTTTTTACAGTATTTCTTCAATAATTGAAAAATAATTATTGGGAATACATTTTAACAATGCATATCAAAGTATTGAAGTACATATTGTTAAATATAAAAAACTAAACTGTCATAATGTTTTGAAAATACTTGTCAGTTACTATTACTATAGGTATATGTATAGTATAATATTATGAAGAAAAGAATAGTATATAATGGCCTCGTTATTTAATCAATAATCCACACTGGCTTTATGAGGAATGTGCTCAGAACTTAAATATTTAGTATTTATATTGGCATATATAGCCATACAGATAAATATTCTTATAAGATAACGATCATGATTCAATTTTTTTGTATAAAAGTTATACCTTAGCACTCTTTTTTTATAAAAATTGCATAAGGTTAAATTGGATAAATTGCATAAGGCTAGAGGGCCTGAATATAATACTTAATTTTTTATCTTAATTTTATATATACCTCATAAGAATTATAAAGAATAATTGTAATTACTAATTGCTATGATACAACAATTATTTTATTAAATATTTAAATATTATTTTAATTATTGTATGTAATTGTACGTAGTTGATATTTTTAACATTAAAAAAAAAAAAAAAACTTTATAGTTACATATTTTTATTATATATTTTATACAACAATATAATATAATATTAAAAATGAAAATTAAAAAATTATATAAGCTTAAAAAAACTTTAGAATATATTGCGGAGGACTGTTCAAATTGATGGTGCTTTCTTGGCCCCCAAATCCCTTCTCCCTAATTGTGCGTTTAGTAGGCTTTTAGGTACATATGATTTTATGAGTCTCTTTGTGACAAAACTGTGGTAAAAACTAATTGACGTTTAAATACTAGATTGTACAAAGAAATAAAAATCAGAAGATACCTATGTGACTATGTGGTCGGTTTAGTATTTGAACACCAAGTCTTCCTATTCCTATATGTAGTTAATAATTGAACATATATTTGTAAGAAAAGATAGGAAAGTTAATAAAAAATAATTAACTCAAGTTAAGTTAAGAGAGCACAAGATCAATGAGTTAAAAAATAACAAATTATAAATTTAACTCATAAGTTAAATGTTAATATGGGAAAAATATTGACTTAACATAACTTTAAACTTAAGTTAAAAAAAAGTTAATCTACATTTTTAATTAGTATGTTGATCACATAACAAGTGACTGCATTATTTCTAATTTAAAAAATTAAAATAATCAATTTTATAACTAAACGAAGTTGTACTATGCATATGTTTTTTTTTAAATATCCCAGAAGAACAAAAGAAGATAATATTTACGTTCCTAATCCTAAAAATAATAAATTAATTCATGTTCTTATTTATTAAAAATTAATGGAATTAATATGATAAATATGAAATTATAATGAAATCAATTACAAGAACCGTCTCTTAACAAAAATTTAGAATATATTTCGGAGGACTGTTCAAATTGATGGTGCTTTCTTGGCCCCCAAATCCCTTTCTCCCTATTTGTGCGTTTAGTAGGCTTTTAGGTACATATGATTTTATGAGTCTCTTTGTGACAAAACTGTGGTAAAAACTAATTGACGTTTAAATACTAGATTGTACTGTTTAGTATTTGAACACCAAGTCTTCCTATTCCTATATGTAGTTAATAATTGAACAAATATTTGTAAGAAAAGGTAGGAAAGTTAATAAAAATAATTAACTCAAGTTAAGTTAAGACAGCACAAGATCAATGAGTTAAAAATTAACAAATTATAAATTTAATTTGATTAGTTAAAAGTTAATGCTGCCTAGTTCACCCCGTTCGGTGTTTCTCTAAACTTCTGCCTTGCTGCCCACAAATTTTTTTTGGAATTTCTTGTCAATTATCTTGTTCAGGCAAATTGAACAAGCGAATTCTTTATAAAACCTGTATTGTTAATAGAATCTTATACCATTTAGTCTTCCACATAAAATATATGCATAATAAACCCTTTTAAAGGAATCAAATTAAATAATAAATTTAATCAACTGTTCTCGTGATTTACGGTTCAATTAGACATTTAAAATGTCAAAACCATTAAAAATTGAATTCTCGTAACAAGCAAAGTACCGCCGTTTTAATACACAACAATAATATATAAATTATGTATTTTTTGAAAAAATGAATATATTTTTTATTTTATTTTTTGATGTAATTCAACAACTAATAACAGGTGATACATTAAATTGTCATAACATTTATATTACAAAGCCATTTTTCATACATGATGAATTTACTGAATTATTTTGATTATTTTTAAGCCGTTCGTTTGCATGAAAAATTTTTGATTTCTTATGGTTAATTTAAAATTGCAATCGATAGACAATAAATAATTTTTCACCTAGTCAAAAAACATGAAAATGTTATGCAATGATCCTCATAAGTTGGTAAATATTTTCTTAATTAAAAAAATTATTAAATTAATAATCTATAATTAATTATAGAATTTTGACGTAATCGCGAAAATTACCTAATAAATTAGTCTTTGCAAATACTAACCAACTAGTCAATTAAATAAATATATTATTCATGTGAACTTGAACATATTATTATATTTTATTCACACAATGATATTGTCAAGTACAATATTTTCGTAATAGATTAATTCAACCTACTTGTATTACTATGAGTAAAGTCAATTACTTTAATAGCAATGAAATCATAAAATACACTTATTAATATAGGTTGAAAGACAGCTTTCGCAAAGTAATGTATTTAGTATACAATTGATACAATCAGGTAAACGTAGTACAAAATTGCTAAAATATTAAAAATGTTATTGTGTTAGTGTTCAATAAAAACAAATATTAATTTAACCTACAAATTATAATATTATTATAAATGTACCTATATCGAGTATTTACTACAAATATGTTATTAATAAGTAACTTTACTTAGAATACTAATTGAGCATTTCACTTAATAATAATAATAATATTTGTTTTTCACTTCGACGATTTTTCTTAGTATTCATTTTAAAATATTATGTAAATCCATTTGTAAATACATTTAAAACAATAGTTTTAATTCAATTAAAATCAGCAAATGTCACAGAGGATAAATCATTTCCATTCATTTTTTTTGTACTTAAGTTAAAAAAAAGTTATTATGAGTGTGAGATTAGTGTTAAATAATTTTAACAAAGTTTTTTTGATTTTCGGTGTTGGTAGTACAAATTACAACCACGGCAATTATAATACGTCGGTGGTGTTTCATATCTTGCGATGTATAATAATGTATATTGGTTTGCATAACTTCTACAAGGTCAACCGATGGGTAATAACTATATTTAAATGTATTTTAATAGTTTCGTATGCTGTTACATAAATGGTAGGCACATTGAAAAACATACATAATTTCAAATGTAAATTTGTCAACAGTTTTTGTATTTATATACATTCAAATGATACAACAGTTATATTATGTCCTATTAACCATTCGGTATGATTATATTATTATAATTTTTAATTTATTATAGCTAATTTCCAACAAACTTGTTCAATTTAGTACATTATCTTCTTTATTAACAAATAATTGAAAGAATAGTTCAATGATTTAATATAAATACCTACATATCTATTTATATATGATGTAGTAATTGTGAAGTGTGTTTAAAAAATTATATTTTATAGATCGATAAAATTGATCCGGAAATGACTGAACTAACGTCCTTAATACTTATCAGCTGTTATGAGTTGTGTTATATTGGAAGATTCATATGTAAAATTTGGCGCATATTTTTCGATAATTCACTGTCAATGGTATTGACTACACTCGAAACAGTTCACGAGAAATTGATACGCTTGAATGTGGACGGGCTGAAGAAAATAAAAAATATTAATTGGATTTCTATATTTATAATTATTGTAAATATTATGGTAATTATTATAACTACAACAATATGGATAATAATGCAGAAACATTTAATTGAAATAAATGATATGGTAATTATTCTTATTCAAAGATATTTTATATGTTAATAAATAATTAGTATTTAAAGAATACTTTTATTATTTTTTTGGAATATGTATTCAACTAAATGAGTATTGCAGTATTCCTAATACATTTATATCAAATATAGGCTGAATACATTAAAAAAAATCTATGCTGAATACATATACGAATTCACAAAAAAATATTATAAGAATTTTTATTATTCAGTTTTTTAATGTTGAATCAATCGTATTTAATTCAAAGAGATAAACCATTTTAATAAATAGTTATAGAGTGTCCGATTTTTAATTGGAAAATTCGTTTTTGTCACAAATATAAATTATTTTGAAGTTTCAAAAAAAGAATTTTTCGATGATTAAATAAATACAAAAAAAAAAATTTTCAGATTATGTATTTGAATAAAAAAAAGTAAAATGTTTTTTTTCTAAAACGCTGTAAATAGTCTTGTATGATAATAGATCAATTTATTCCATTGAGGAAACTTTAAACTATTTGTTTTGTAATACGTTTGTCCGATGGATAAAACACAAACCGTTTACTACATATCACTTATTTTTAGGTCATAATTGTGGTTTTAAATATATGCCAATGCTTTTGTTTTTGTGAATATATACTGCTAATATCATACATGAAGTGGATGATCTACATAATAAATGAACAAATTCCGGAAAGAAAATCGTGCTTAAGTACGTTCAGAGACATGTATTTGGAAGTTATAGAATGCTTACACCAAGTCAATAGATCAATATACGGTGTGCCGGCCATTGTTGGTTTTATTGGAGCAGATGTTGCTGAAATCATATTTACCATATACGGCCATTTATTATTCCCTAGAGCTTATATCAATGATCCTCATTTGGTATTTGCTTTCATAGCGTTGTTAATGAAAACAGTTAATGTTATAGTCTTATACACGATTGGTGACGCCACCGAAAAAGAGGTTTTTATATTATAATATTATGTATTAATTGAATTTATTGTAAGTTTAATTAGCTCTTTAGAATTATTTTCCATCTACTCTGAATACTTGGAAACATTTGTGAATAAAAACGAATAAATATTAAAATTCTCTACATAAAAAACTAATAATAAAACTTTCTTAGTAACAAAGACACAGATAGTGCATGTTCCAATATAATGTACGTTTTGTATTAAAATTATTAGTGTGTTTGACTTATTTCAAATTTAATTTTTGTATTACCAGGTAAATCGGATGAGTCTTGTCTTACATCAACGATCCTTAATAGAAAAAAACCCTAGAATTAAACGTCAGGTATATAATATAAAATATGACTATTATAAGTATTAACTACAAGTTATTCATATTACATAAATGATTTAACAGGAATATTTATTTTTATTTTTATTTAGATCAAGTTTTTTTTACTTCGAAGATTACACGAACACTATCATTTCGATCTGTATGGAATGTGTCATGTTAATATAAGACAACTGTTTAATTTATCAAACATAGCGATTGGTTATTTAGTAATTCAAGTTTTGTTCAAATTGAATAAATAATTAACAGATAAAGTCAACGGTACAAGGATTGATCTATTTATCGCAAGACATTATCATTATGGAGGTTAACTTATAGAGACAACAGTCAGTCGTCACCAGATAATTCTAAAAACTTCATAAATCGAACTAAATGCTTGGTCCTCTGAGGTTATAATTAGAAGAACATGCATGGATTTCGGCTCCCTTGATAATTCGAAATGTCTGTCTGTGGTTTTTAGCTGGGTCCCCTGACTTTAAAATTATAGTATTACTATACCTACTAACGTTTTATACAAATTTATTGTATTAAATTTAATATATATTGTAATTTGTAACTAATCTAGACACGCGGTAACGTGTCAAGGCAAGTTCTAGCTAACAGAATACTGGCGTGTTTAATATTACACGAACCATTTAGAGGCATGTTTGACCCCCTCATAACTCAAAAAATATTTTACATAAACATGTCAAATCTGGCTCATATATTCAGACTTAAGAGATATATATGTGCTCCAAATTTCATAAGCACACCTCAAACCGTTATTTAGATATTAACGGCCCAAAATCGTAATTTTGTCACCGACTGGTCAAAATTTTAAGCCAGTTGCAGGTGACCTGCAAAGTTCAAATCTGGCATACAGATTAACAATCTGTTAGGTTAATGCGAAGGAAAAAATCAGAAACTTAAAATATTTATATTTTCATTTTTTTAATCATTTGATTTTCTTATAATTTTTCAATCAATTGATTTTCTTATAATTTTTCAATTATTTGATCTATTATATTTAATTTTTCAATTAATTAATTAAGGGCCTCTAGTTTAATTTTTTGTAATGTAATGTTGAGTTAAATAGCTCCGCTTCAAAAATACGTCCAGTCGAATATTTGTCGATATTGGCGAAACGTGCGCCTCAACATATCTTTCTATGTAAGTAATTAATATTAATTTTTAAAAAATTACAATTAAAATAATTAAATAATTTATCTTACGTTTATGAATTACCCACCCAAAAGTAGAAATTATAGTAAATAAAATTATGATAATTAAAAATATACTCAAAAAGATATAAAATAATTTTAAATTAATTTTATATTTTATAGTCTGTAAACAACTGAAAATATTTTATAATAAATATTATTAATGTTTGGAACTGAATTATAGTATATAGTAATAATTTTTATTTATAGAATACGTCATGGCTGGGTTAGGTTAGGTTATAATAATTAACATACAAAAAGAAATGATATCCCACCAAAAACATATATGTAAAATGAGAGCCAAGTTTAATACTATAATATATGCATTGGTTGACGACTTCAAGGACAAAAGAAGTGAGATCTAAATGGGTGCCAAGTTAGGATAATATATTGAAGAATAAGGTCTGACTTGGCTACGAATTATATATTATAGAATTCGCAAGTTCTAAAGTTTTGAGTTCCTATTTTATTCTTCAGAAAATCATCTTCACTCTTCCATTACTGTTTTAGTAGGTACTTAATAATAATTCGTATATGAAAACTAGCCAAGTTAGACCTTAGGCTTCAATATACTTTCCTAAATTGGCACCCATTTAGATCTCACTTCTTTTATCGTTGAAGTCAACGACCAAGGTATATATTATAGTATTGAATTTGGCTCTCATTTTACATAAATGTTTTTGGTGGATTGACTACTCCCTACCCGTTCAATATTTGATTTTTATGTTTTATCATAGTAATATTATCGTTATGTATTGATATATATAGAATATGTTAATTTTTGTAACTTCGCAGTCCGCAATACACTAAAATGCATGTAATGATAATTTGGGTCTGCAAGCTACACCTATACGCTAATGTATAAAATTAAGTGTTAGTTTGTTATTGCTATACACCAACACATCATAATTCTTACTTTTTTATGTAACTACTATAATTTGTGTATCTTTTAAAATAAATGATTTTGAATTGTATACCTACCCTACAAAATGTGTATTAAATATAAATGTTTAATACAGTAATAATGACTGTCAGTAACTATGATATGAAATAGTAAAAAAAAAATAGTAGATAGGTACCATATGTTTACAAACACTAATAAAAAGGTGGGCAAGTGGGTGTCGCTCTGCTGTACAGTAGGTTACAAGTGGGTCATTGTATAATGGATGGTATTAAATTTGAATTCAATGATATAATATCATTGTATAAGAAAAACGATTCTGAGCGGTGATGGTATGTCAGTCTATGTATAAGGCATATTATATATATATCTATGGTATTAAACAAAAAATTGACCTATAATAGGTACCTATAATAAATTCCAAATTAATCATATCACAATATCCATTAGATACTTATAACGCGTTATACATCAACAAAAACCGTGATACTATCATAGATATATAATAGTACACTTTAGAAGTTTCAAGTACCCACGAATAGTATCATTCAATCACAACAAAATAACTAAAATCGTAATTCTTGGTTTAAATATGAAATTTTGTCTAAATTTGAAATTAAAATGTCTGTAAAAAATTAGTGTGTTTATATATTTTTAGATTTTTTGGTTACAGTATGAATTATTTAAGAGAATCTTTGTTTTAAATTTTCAACTTTTAGTTATAAAAACTGAACATTTTATAATTTTTTAATTCCAACGATTGATAATTTTTGAGATTTTGATAAATTTTGTCAAAATTCCAACTTTAAATGCTTATAAAAAAAATCGTGCCTATGTATTTTTAATATTTTTCAACTGATATTGTAACAATATATCAGGAGCCTTGTATTAAATTTTTACACTTTTTGGCATAACAGATAAAACTTTATTGATATTTATAGAAAAAAAACTAAAAAAAATTGAAAGCTGTAAATGTCCATAAACAGCTCAAAAAGAGTCAAAATATTTTCAAAATTGTATGGTGTATAGGAAATGCTAATATAAACATTCAGTGAAATTTTCATGTATCTACAGTTATTCGTTTTTGAATTACAACAAAATAAGGAAATCGCTACATGAGAAATCGAGTGAAAATCCAATGTTGTAAAAATTTGAATTTCAAACGCTCATAAAAATTTAATTTGAGTGTCCGGTAGAGATTTTTTATATTGATAAAAGTAGATAATCTTATAAGGAATCTTGTGTTTCATTTTCAATTTTTAGATTTAAAAAGAAAAATTTTACGAATTCTTAACTCAAAATAATTTGCTAATTTTCGTGATTTTTCCATATTTTGTCAATTTTTGAACTTTAAATGCTTATAAAAAAAAATTGTGACTAAGGATTTTTAATATTTTTCTGTAATAATTACTGTCAGTAACTATGATATGAAATAGTAAAAAAAAATAGTAGATAGGTACCATATGTTTACATTTTTACAAACACTAATAAAAAATAGTAAAGGCTATATTCCCGTAGGTGCATCGATTACTGCAACAGTGATAGAGTTGTTCTTATTTACTGTACTGTCACTTACGAATCAACAATTAAATTTAGTCGTTTTAGGTAAAGCGTGTTCTTGAATTGTTGAACCCTTGTGGATATTCTTTGATAATTTCAGTTTGGAAATGTTTTATACTTTATTTATATACGTTTTATACATGGATTTCTGATCAGCAATGTGTAAATACCTATATATTATTCATATATGCATGTCTGTTTCATTACATATAGGTATTTTTCTTATAGATGACACACAACTTTTATTTTATGTTTTTTACTCAACAAAATAGCGAAAGTAATATTTGCAACGAGATGTTAACATGAGTAAATATTAAATTAAGACATATATTTTCGTATTTTTAAATCTAAATATAAGTACCTATTAAAAATTATATTTAAGATAATAACTAGGTTATTATTGGTTATATTATAATACATATATTGATAATTTATTAGTTTAAATAGTATGTAGAAATAATAATTAGTGATATTAGATAAGATAAGTAAACTATTAATTAGGTACTATTCATAATTATTATTATATTTTATATCATCACTCAGTGCTGAAACAGACTTTATCGGACCTGCGTGTAACTAACTCGGAAAATGGGACATTCATTTTATTTATCCATAGTTAATATAAATCCTAAATGTGTGTAGGTAGTTGCAAACTACCCAAACACCATTTTTATTCACATTTTACACTTATCTTTTTACACATTTTAAAAGCAGAGCAGGTTGTATGTCGCTATGTGAGTAAAAATAATATTATAAACGAGTCTAGATCTTGGATACTGGAGTCAATTGGATTCCCACCGCCATTTTTGAATGATGTGGCGGCATTTCCAATTGAGGAAGAACGGAAATGTTTACGTAAAATCAAGTTTTGACAAAAATCAATTTTGGTATTTAGTGTAACTCCATAAAAACTGATCTTAGATACATGACGTTTTCGCTGAATTTTTACATTAGCATTTTCATTACTCCGCAAAATGTGCATAATATTTTGACTTGTTTTGAGCTGTTTACGGTCCTTTTCAGTTTCCAAATTTGTATTATTATTATCAATGGTACCTATTGGTTATTGGAACTGAATAGACAAAACGCTGGAATTGTTTTGTTTGTAATGCTTGGCATTGTTTGGCAAGCAGACAGACCGAATTTCTCTGTTATCAAATGTTCAACGTTTGCCTGCTATAGTATTTCCTCTACGACCTACGTATTCACCTCTATCGTGCGTACTGACGGACGAATCTTCTTTTTGTGTCTGTCTACACCTTTTATAACGGTAAAAAGTCTTGGAGTTTATTCGACAGTATCTTTCCTGATAGGAAACTGAATCTATTTGTTACATTGGGGGGGTCAAAAGTAATTATTTGTAGGAAAACTGTAATTTTTACTCAAAGTCGGTTTTTGACAAAATCGATTTTAGTGTTTGGCGTAACTCTAAAAGAAGTTACCTTAGATACATGACATTTTCACTTAATGTTTAAATTAACATTTTCTATACACCACAACTTTTTAAAATATTTTGATTTGTTTTGAGCTGATTACAGACATTTTCAAATTTTTTAGTTTTTTTCTATATATATCAATAGAA